CAGGATAGGCACTCAAGAAGTTCAGCTTGAACTGCAAGGTCAGTAGTTCAAACTTATCAACCGCTCCTTGGAAATTCTATACAAGGTCACTATGAGTCGGGATGAACTGTAGGCACTTAACAATCAAAACCTTATATAGGGTTGCTACCGAGTTGCTGTAAATTGGAATTGACTCAAGTTTGTTTTTTTGGGTTTGTAAGTCCAGGTTCCTTCTTTGTAAAGATTGTAGGCATGAAACTCTATGGAACAGTTCTATTTTAACACATGGGGCTGCTGTGAGCCAAACTTGACACAAATGGGTTTGTTGTTTGTGTTTGCACTGAGCTACTAATCAAAATGTTGGTGACTTGAATCCACCAAGCAGCACCAAGGAAGAAAGTCTTGGAAATTTTACTTTAGAGTCCTGGTGTGGCGCTGTGGGTTAATGCACCAGACTGCAATGCCATTTGAACTGCAAGGTTGGTGGTTCAAGCTCACCAGCTGCTCCTCAGAACCTTATACAGGGTCGCTATGGGTCGGAATCGACTCGATGGCACTTAACAACAACAACAGTGGGTCAATGCGTTGGACTACAAAGTTGGTTTGAACCGCAAAGTCAGTGGTTCAAGCTCACCAGCTGCTCCTCAGAAACCATATACAGGGTTGCTATGGATTGGAACTGACTGGATGGCACTTAACAACAAGAACAAAAATAAAATTAATTAGTTATTGAAAATCCTATTGAGTGAAAGTCTACTCTGAAACACGTGGTGTTCCATGGGTGGGAATTCACCAGACATCAACCAGGTATGTTTTGTTTGAATTGTATGTTATTTTTCTTTACACAATCCCCGATAGAATGTAAGCCCTATGTGAATAGGGCTTTGTCTTCTTTATTCCCCACTTTATTTTAAAACACGCTCAATGCTGGGATCTCAGTCGAGGCTCTATAATACTTGCCGAATTAAATAAACTGAAAGATGACCACATGCGGCTTAAACCGACCTTGTGGTCGAGTGCTTATCCTTCAGTGCCACACCAGGACTTAATGGAAGGAGTCATTTTTAGCCACAATAGGATGGACCTCCGTCACGTGACAGGCAGTCGCCGGCCAGCCCACCCTCCAGACTTGGAAGGCCGCGACGTTAGCTGAGACTCGCTCCCAGTCAGCCAGACGGCTGAATCCGAGAATGAGGTACTGCGCAGGCGCGGCCATCCAGCGCAGGCGCAGACCCAGCTAGGGCGCGCGGCCGGCGGACGGTTGGCGGCGCGCGGAGCGGGTTAGCGTGAGCATTTAGCTTGAGCGCGACTCCTTGGAGGCAGCGAAAGCCGGCGCCATGGTGGAGAAGGAAGAAACTGGCGGCGGCGGCGGCATCAGTGAGGAGGAGGCGGCGCAGTATGACCGGCAGATCCGCCTCTGGGGGCTGGAGGCCCAGAAACGGTCAGGGATGGTGCGGCCTGCGAGACCTGCGGGAGGGAGGACGCGGAGGGGAGGCGTCTGGGGTGAGGCGTTCGCGGACCTGAGGGGACTGGAGGCTCTAATTTGCAGTGAGGGGGCGAGAATGATGTGACTGGGGATGGTAGCACGCTTGAGGAGACTAGAAGCGTCGATTTATGACGTTTCGGGAAGGTCTGTGAAGCGGAGACGGGCCAAGGTGGTGAGAGGTCCGTTTCGAGGGACTGAGGGCTTCTGAACTGGGAGATGCGGGTGGGGGTGGGGATAAAGCCCCAAGGGATCAGGAGGATTCAAACCTAATTCCTCGGTAGGATTCAGGGCTCTGGAGGCTTAGGGCCTAAGAGGGAGTCGGGATGCAAGAGAAGGATGAAGGGCGTGGGGAGTGTCGTTCATTTATTCACTCACTCATTCATTCATTCCTACATAGTGGGAACCTGTTGGGTGCTGGCTGCTGGGAGATTGGTCACATGGATGGACATTCTTGTGGGTTCTGAGGGGTGGGCTAATCTGAAAGAATATGGGTTTTTGAGAAGTTTTGGAACATGTTACCTCAAGTGGATGAATTGATAGGCAGTTCAAGCCCACCAGCTGCTCTTCGGAAACTCTGTAGGATCGCTAGAAGTCAGAACTGACTCGACAGCACTTAACAACAACAACAGGAAAGAGAAGCACAGCCAAAGTGCGCTTTAGAAACAAGAATAGCAAGACATCATCTTTTAGTCTTTGGACATCATGTCAGAAGAGATGAGTTCTTAGAGAAGGACATCATGCTGAGTGAAGTGGATGATCAGTGGAAAAAGAGGAAGACCCTCCAGGATTAACAGTGGCAGCAACAGTGGACTCAAACATAGCATTTGTCAGGATGGTTCAGGACCGGGCAGTGTTTTGTTCTGTTGTAGATAGAGTTAGAACTGACCCTCAGATGGCACCTAACAACAGGAAAGGGATGCTGGATCCATCAATTAGTATCTATTGAGCACTTGCCACAGGTACCGTTTTAGGCATTGGAGTCCTGGTGTGGCGCTGTGGGTTAATGTGCCAGACTGCAAAGCTGTTTGAACTGCGAGGTTGGCTGTTCAAGCTCACCAGCTGCTCCTCGGAAACCCTGTATAGGGTCGCTATGGGTCGGATCTGACTCAACTACACTTAACAACAACAACAGTGTATCAGTGAATGGAGCCTGTCTCTTACCAACACAGAGCTTACATTCTGATGGGGGGAAAATATAAACCCTCACATAAGATGGGGTTCCCTTCCCACGACTACATCTTAAACCAGTTCTGATAAAAGTTGAATAAAGAAAAAGTTCTTTACATTTATAGTTTTTAATATTGCCTACTTCATCGTGGTGTTTTGAATAGTAAATCATTTTCTTGGACATCTGTGAGGAAAGAACATTTGAGAATGATGACATCAGCAAATGACATGCTGCAACATTATTAATGATAGAAAGCCACTGCCGTCCAGTCACTCTGACTCATAGTGACCCTATTGGGGGTTTCTGAGCTGTACATCTTGACGGCAGCAGACAGCCTTGTCTTTTTTCCTCAGAGTGATTGGTGGGTTTGAACTGCTGATCCTGAGGTTAGCATCTCAACAACTAACCCACTACACCACCAGGGCGCTTTATTATTAATGGTAAGATATAGGCCAGTAAAAAAACTACAGACAGCAGTATTCAGATCGTTGTAACTCAAATACGTTGCAAGTTGGTGCTTATCTGCATATAGTATGTAATATCAAGTACTGCAGGTGCTAATGAGAAAAATAAAGCAGAAAACCAAAAAAGAATTAAAAAAAAAACCCCCAGAACCCGTTGCTGTTGAATTGATTCTGATTCAGTGACCCCATAGGACAGAGTAGAACTATGCTGCAGGGTTTGGAAGCTGTAAATCTTTACGGAAGCAGACTACCTCATCTTTTGTCTACACGTGAGTTGGTGGATTTGAACCACTGACCGTCCTGTTAGCTCAACTCAACCCATTGTGATACCAGTGTTCCTTGCATAGAGGGACCACGAGTGCAAAGTCCTGGAGGCCTGAGCACCCTTGGCAAATCAGGCACAGTAGGGTGGCTAGACCTAACTGGGTGAAGAGTAGCTATTATTCTAAGTGGGCTGGGAAACCATTGGAGTGTCTACAGAGTGGGAGTAATGTCTGATTTTTGCTTTGAAAAAAGATCATTCTTGCCAGTAGTGAGTAGGTTTAAGTGGACAGAAGTAGAAATACAGATTTCAGTTAGTAGTTATTGTTAGGTTCCATTGGAGACAGCTGCAGTAATCCACGTGAGACCTGGTGGCTTAGAACTCTGGCTGGGGGCATCAAATATACTCGTATATCTGGCTATATTTTGAAGATAGAGTAAAACTGCTGAATTTGCTGAAGGGTTTGATGAAAGGAAGTTACGAATGACTCCAAGGTTCTTAGCATGCAGGTTTTTGTGAAGACTAGGTTTTTGAAGGAAGAATCTGTTCTCTTTTTGGTATTGGTTTGAGATTTAGTTAAACATTGAAGTGAAAATGTGTGAGTGGTCAAGTTCATAGGAGAGGTGTGGGCATTTATGTGATGTCTTTGGGTCAAAAATGATGAATGGATCTAAGAATAATCAATTAAAGGAATTGTAGAGATGAGCAGGCCAGATAATTTAAATTGAAGAGATTGGGAGCTACTGGAATGTCTTCGTGAGTGCTGGGGATTACCTCAGGCTTATCTCAGTTTTAGAGGGTCTTCTGACATGGGAGGGAGCACTCGAAAGCATTGATGTGAAGGTTGTTGTGAAGTGTCACCAGTTGGTTCCAATTCATAGTGACCCTGTATAGAGTTTCTGAGGGGCGGCTGGTGAGCTGAATGGCTGATCTTAGCATTATCCCACGGTGCCACACCAGGATTCCCTGAAATAAAAGATTAGTAATTAAATGATGAGAGTGTTTTTCCAGACTTAGGTGGGAATGATTGCTTTTAGGGAGAGCGATCCTGATATATAGCGCTGTAAGTTGGAATCTATTTGACAGCAGTAGATTTTTGTTTTGTTTTGTTTTTTTAAATCTTCCTAAAGGGATGAAAAAAGAATTTAGGTGAGTTGGAGGAAATTTCGAGGACTTAGACCGATTGGGGTAGTACGAGGTCCTAAAGTGTTCTGGAGATTCTAAGTATACCAGAAGGGTTCATCCAAGACGTTGGGACAGCATATTGCTTTATTTGACATGGAGTGGAATCTGTGAGGTTAAACTAGAATGTAGTGAGGGAGTTGTCAGACGAATAGGAATGATTGATTGATCGGAGAAACAATCATAAATGAAGGGAAGTAGACCTAAGGGGCCAATCATAGGGTATGGAATTCCTGGGCGTCTTTCTGAGGAAATGGAGACAACTTGGAGAACTAGGAGGCTGGAAATTACTCGTCTCTAATTTGTAGACAGTTTTACAGTTTATTAAAGTGCTCTCAGTATTTCAGTATCATAGCAGCTCTCTGGAATAGGAAAGGCAGAACTGATTTGATGACACTAAACAACAACACAGATGAGGAAGGGAATTCTGGTTTGGTGCTGTAGAATAAGCAAAAGCATTGGACTGCTAAAAACAAGGTCAGCAGTTCAAGCCCACCAGCTGCTCCTTGGAAACCCTATAACAGGGTCGCTGTGAGTTGGAACTGTCTCAATGGCATTTAACAACAGCAGCAAAGAGGCAAGGAAAAGAAGGCTCCACAAAGTGAACTGACTTGCTTCTATACGGGGGTGCCAGGTGGGCTAGGACAAAGGAGTGGAGTAGAGAGCCAGGGTTACTTTGTGAAATGGAAGACCTAGGAATCAGCTGATGGCATTGTAGTTCCTGTTTTGCTTTGAGTTACTCTGATCTTGAACCAGGATTGTGGGAGAGATGGAAGGGAGAGTAAGAGTAAAGGCCTCCTTCAAGGAACTTAGTCTGCTGTTGTTAGTTGCTGGAGAGTTGACTCTGACACATGGCGACCCCATGTGGTTTCCAAAGCTTTTTGGAAGCAGCTTGCCAAGCCTGTATTCTGAAGTACCTCTGGGAGGGTTAGACTGCTCACCTTTTGACTAGTAGTTGAGCATTTGACCATTTGCACCACTCAGGGACTCTTCAAACAGTTTTATTGTTGTTTTATTAAGTGCTGTCAAGTGGGTTCCAAACCATAGCAACCCTCTGTAGGGTTGCCGAGGAGCAGCTAGTGAGCTTGAGCTGCCGACCTTACAGTTCAGCTTTGAAATCTGGTGCATTAATCCACAGCGCCACACCAGGACTCCTTAAACAGTTTAGAGGCTAAATATTGGGCTATATCACCCACCCATGTTTTAAATTTTTTTGAAATTAGTTACCATCTTTTAAAAATCTAGAATATTGACCAAATTTTGGGCAGTTTGGACATCAGAAAGAATAAGAATAAAATTCTTTTCATTTAAAAATATTGAATAACCTAAAATCTATAAGGGCAAAGGTATTATTCAAATAAAGGAGAAATAAAACTTTTTTGTAACCTTTGGAGAGGTCACCATTATGCCGCCTCACTACTCTGAACATTGGTAATTAGAAGGAATGAATTAAGTATTTATCCTGTTTTGTTTTGCTTTTCCAAGTTAATTTTTAAAAGTCTCTTTTGTAGCGCTGTGGGTTAATGTGCCAGACTGCAAAGCTGTTTGAACTGCAAGGTCAGCGGTTCAAGCTCACCAGCTGCTCCTTGGAAAACCCTATACACTTAACTACAATACACAGCAGGGTCCGGTTGAACCACAAAGTAGGTTCTTCAAACTCAACGGCCGCTCCTTTGGAATCCTATACAGGATTGCTCTGAGTTGGAACCGACTCGACAGTACTTAACAATACACAGCAGTTACAACATACACCAATTTAACTGCTCATGTATAATTTAGTGCTAGTGATTGCATTCTTCTAGTTTTGCATGTCCTTTTCTGAGTTGTTCCTCTCTCATTAGCATAAACTCACCTGCCCCTTAAATTTTCTGATATTTTG